ATTCGAATCGAAATATATTCGATAAATCGAATCGAAAAGAGTTTATTTTAAATTTATGCGTCGTATTATGGCGGTGGAAGAAAGTGGAAGGAAAATTTTTTTTTTTTAAATACAGTTATTTATTCTTGTAATTTTTGTACTTGTTTGTTGAAAAGTTGTTGTCGGTTGTTGTCGAACGGCGAGTAGGAAATTGCAATAACGAAAAAACAAACAAACAAATTGCTTTTCATTCGAACGAATCGTCGTTAATATAATTGTTTGATAGTGAAATAATTAATCGATTAATCGTTTTTTAAAAAAAATCGATTTTCATTTGGGCGTATCGATAACGTTTAAAATTCGAAAAAAAAAAAAAAAAAACGATTCCTACGCTGGTGAAAAATTTGCGAGTTAGTAATGACAAAACTATGGGCAAATTTCCCTTTGGTGTTTGTTTCCGTTTCCCCCCTCCTTTCTCCACCTCCTCCCCCTTTCTCTGCCTCTCTTTATCGTGAGTTTTGATCGAACCTGAGATATGAAAAAACGAGTTTTTCATTTTGAAAAGTAGAAGAAGAAAAAAAAAAGCAGCAGCAGAGCGACTTTCAGGTACGGTGTCGGGCAGGCAGGTGTGGGGAGGAGGGGAATGGGGGGCAAGAAGTTTAAAAAATTGTGAAGGTCGAAACGGAAAAATTACCTGTCAAATTTGTTGTTGTTGTTGTTGTTTTTTTTTTTTTTTTAAATAAAAAATTCTGATTAAATTCAATATGTCTTAGTAGGGAGGGGGCGCGTGAAAATTAAACGTTTTATTTTCAAGAGATGAAAAGGGGAGAGAGAGAGAGATGAAGGAAGTAGGATGAGAATGACCCCAATATTAAACCATTTATTTTTTTTTTTTGCGTGCGAAATGTTTTGATAACGACCTGGAGGATAAGGGAAGAGAAGGGGAGGGAAAGAGGGAGGGGAGGGGTTGTCGTTATCACATCACTCGCAACTTTGATCATTCGAATCTCATTCTACGTTAATGGATTTTCTCTTGAGGGATTAAAAATTTACTTTAAAAAAAAAAAAAAAAAAAAAAAAAACCGTCATTTTCGTTACGTCATCGAATCGATCATATTTTGAATTATTTATTAATAAGTAAATAAATAAATAAATATTAATAATTTATTAAATATGCAAAGCTCTCGTTTTTTATTTTAAATCATAAATTTGCCACCGGGATCTCGACTTTATCTTAATCGGCCATTTTGATTTTTTTTTTTTCATTGGAAATTTCGATCGGATTTTTTTCGATTGGGGGATCGAGATTTTAAATAACATGTAATTATTATTATTATATTCGAGGTGAGATTTTTTCGTTTTTTTATTCTTCCTAACCTTTTTTTTTGTGTGCGTTTCGTGCCGACGACGAACTTGTTTTTCTTCATTGATTTGTGGTCGATAATTTGTGAATGGATTAAATGATTGATCGATCGATCGATCGATCGAACGGAGTCGATCGGATTAAAAAAAAAAAAAGGTGAAGGCAAAAAAAAGAGTTACAGGTAGATGAGAGATGTTTAAATGGGAAAGGCCAAAATGACGGCCCCCCTCGAAATATTTTTTTTTTTTTTAAACAAAAATATTTTACCGGTCGCCGGTTGGATTCTTTAAATGAAAACGGTAACCGGAATCCTTTTTCCGCGTTTTAAATTCGGTCACGGTGCACGCCGCCGCAATTTTGCCCCCTCGCACCCCCACCCCCAACGTGTAACATTATCGACTTTAATTGTTTAGCCGCCCTTTATAAAAAAAGACGCCGGGTATAACCTTAAACCGTTCGGCCGTGAAAAGGTCCGTGGAAAATTTTCGTTTTTATCAAATGCGGAAAATGTTTGAAAATGTGGATTCACCTTTCTCTTTCTCTCTCTCTCATCTCCTGTCTCTCTCTCTCTCTCTTTCGCTCGTGTCAATGAGTCAAGGCTTTCACTTGCGAGTTGTGAAAAAGAATGTTCCTTTTTTTTTTTTTTTTTTTTTGTGCCGAATGATAATTTGTTATTTTTTATTGTTTTTACCAGGGGGAATTTCTTTCTCATCATCATCATTATCATCATCATTATTATTATTTTAATTGACCTTTTTAAAGTTTAAATATAAAATGTCTGTTTAAATAAATAAATAAAAAAATTCTGTTCGCTCACATCATTGAGAGAATTTGCACGATGTTGACTCCAATCAAAGTTGAAAATATTTTGCCCCCCAACAAAATATTTTCATCGAAACCGGAAACGAAAAAAAACTTTGGGAGAGTGATAAAAATAATTTTTAACCCTTGGATTTTTTTTTTTTTTTTTTTTTTGTCTTTTTCTCCACAGATAGGATTAGGTTAATTACGGGTGGGTAGGTGCGCAACGTAAAAATTTATAGTTACGTATCGATAACCCGATCGATCGCGGGGGAAAATTAATATGGCGGACGTACGAAAATAATAATTTGATAAAATTCTAGAGTAAAAGAGACGGAGAGAGTGAGAGAGAAAAGAAACTACCGTTACAGTTTTTGATAAGGTCGTTCCGCCCGTCCCTGGGGTTACAATATCGGAATGTGTTTGTTGCATGTTTCGATCGACATTTTTTGAAATGGAGAGTTGATAACGCGCGTACACACACACGCACGCACGCACGCACACACAAAAAAAGAAAAATTACAAAAGAAGAAGTTGCGGCGTGTGTGGCATTTACGAAAGAGGAAACGAAAGTGACGACGTCGCACCCGAAAGCCATAAGGCGAAGGGGGGGCCATGTTCCTCGGAAACGTCACTTCTTTATTCGAGTACGCGCCTTTTCCCCCCCATCCTCCCCCTCGAATTTGAAAACGTACCGTACGAAACGGTAAAAGTGTCAATAAATTATATATTTTATTATTGTGTTCCCTTCTGAACATACAAACAAAAACAAACAAACAAACAAATGGGGAATGAAATCAAGGTATTTAACGTGGTGGAGGATAATGATAATTTTCTTTTCGGTGTTTTTTTTTTTTTTTTTGGGGGGGGGGGAAATAAAATTTCAATTCAGTCGTTAAGATCATCGCGAGATTTATTGTGGCAATAATAATAATAACAATTATTATTATTTTTATTATGATTGTTATTGTTATTGTAAACATGATCGTGACAATTGTTATCATGCAAATTGTGTTTTAGTCGTGTGTGCGTGTGTGTGTGTGAGTGAGTGCCCCATTGCGTAATTGTTGTTGTTGTAATTGTTTGTATAGGGTATAATATATCTGGAGATGTTGTTTGTTTCGTTTGTCGTGTGATTCCCAAAAAAATGGTGACTTTTTTCGCCATGTTTTTTCGAGAAAGACACAAAACAAAAACAAAATGAAAATGACTTATTATCAATCATTATTTTGTTTGTTAATAATTAAGGGACTTTAAGAGGAAAGAGAGGAAAAAAGAAGGAACGAGTGTAATAAGAGATAGAGAAAGAAAGAGAAAGAGAAATATATCGAAACCGTAAAAAAAAAAAAAAACTAATTGCACCGTATCATTATTTATTAAGCTTTAACTTACCGTAACCGAGTCGATAATTATTATTATTGTTTTTTTTTTTTTGAGGTCGCAACATTGGTCGTTGGGCATTGATTGTAAAACCAACGATGGATGTAAAACGGATCGTAAAATAATAAAAAAAAAAAAAAAAGGCAAAACAAAACAGAAAACAAAAGAAAACAAAAAACAAAACGAAACGATGAAATTTAAAGTCAAACATCAAAGAAAATTTTTTTTTTTTTTTACTGAAAACGATTTTCATAATGTTCATATCCGGAAACGATGATTAAAACGGGTGACGAGTACGTCTAAGAATGAGAGGAGGGTGTAGATGACAGAGAGGGAGAGGGGGTGGTGGAAAGAAAAAAAGAACGTTTTATTGAGAATCGAAAACATAAATAATAATTATAAAGTCTTGGATTATTTTTTTTGTTTACGTTTTTTCCCTCCCCTTCCCCTCTCGTTTAAGTAATAATTTTCTTTTCTCCCCGGTGTGAAAGTTAAGGTAGAGGGGAAAAAGGAGGGGGGTTTCGAATTGCATTGAATTTGTCAATTAATTTGTTTCGACGTAAACACAAAACGGAAGTTATGAAAACGTGTTTGAAACGTCACGCCTGGCGTTTTTCTTATTATTATTATTATTATTATTATTATTTTTTCTTTTTAAATCGAGTCGACGTTTTTCGGGAAAATGAAAACATCGGGGGGGGGGGTAGGAGTGTGTGGTAAAAAAAAAGTTATTGTTTGTATATGACGATTATGAAAAAAACGTTGGTCGAATTGCGTAGAGAAGAATGAGCGGGCATGCGTGACGCAAAACGACGGTTATCCTTTTTTTTTTTTTTTTTTTTGAAGGATTTTATTTATTTTTTAAAAACGATTTTAATAACAATGTGAAAAGAGAGAGAGAGAGAGAGAGGGAGACAGAGAGAGAGAAAATAGTCGATGGTGACTTTAAAAATTAAAGGGAGTTGAAAAAATAGCCGGCGGAGATCGTGTTGTTGTTGTTTTCGATGTCTTGTAATTGATGAGATTGATTCCCCCCCCCCTCCCCGAAGAAATGTTGTCCGTTCTTCTCTGTCTAAATATCTCTCTCTCTCTCTCTCTCTTTTTTACCTGTTACACAATAAATGGGAAAATGGAGAATGTTTGCCTGTTTGAATTATTTAGATCTCTTACGTTTGTTTTTTTTTTAAATTATTATTATTGTTATCATTATTATTATTATTTTTTTGCAAAATTACGGTGAATGCGTTTGAATTTTAATTACGCCGCGTTCACCGCACGCGCGTTTTAAATTACGGTTCGTGATTAAACGTGTTATCATAATACTAAATTAGCTTTCACCAAGAGAAATAAAGTTCAGTTTTTTAAAAAAATTTTTTCTGTTACGAGATAATAATAATAATAATAATACGATCCTGTTTGTTTTTTTGTTACAGATTACAAAAAGTCATAATTTCATCTGCAAAAGTGGATTATCGACATGTCACCCAGTTTTTCAGCAGCTCGCCCGTTCTGGGTTTGGTCCCTTCCCGCGTTCGCTGTGTTACTGAGTCTTCTCTGGTACCGAAAGAAGCGTGGTTCATTAAAAACTGACAGCGGGGGTGCGGGTGAGACTCGTAACGATAAAAAAAGTGTCGAATCTTCGGATGAAGAAGAATCTCCGGTTTCTGAAAAAAAAAGTGATTTAATAAAAAGTGGCGTTTTTGATAAAGTCATAGAAGATATAAAGATAAACGGAGGAAGAGGAGGAGAAGAACAAGAAGAAGAAGTTAAAGAAGAAGAAGAAGAAGAAGTGGTCGAAGAAATAATCAACTCAGTGAAAATAATTGACAAGGTCGAATCGGCGAAACCACCGGCGGCGGTTTTAGAAAACTTTATTAAACCGTTAATCAAGGATTCGTTGAATTCTTGCGTTGTTGACGATACAAAAGAAGGAATAATAAATTTGACGGATTTGACAAAATCGGGAAATCAAACGGAAGAACAAGAGATAATAATACTGAGAAATCGAGTCGTCGAAGAATCCGTTTTACCAATTCAGGACGAAGACAAAATCCAAGAGATTAAAGAAAATCGGAATCAAGAAGAAATTCAAGTTTTCAAAAGTGGTAAATTCGGTAAAAAGAAAAAGATGAAAAATTCAAGTAAGAAATTACACGATTCTTCGAAACCGGATGCGGTCAAACAGGGAAAAGAAGAAAACACGGCTTGCATATTGGAAAAGAAACTTGCCAAATTGGAATTGGAAAAACAGTGTAGTAATAATAATAATAATAACAACAACACCTCGGGAAATAATAAAAAAATGGCCGGCGTCAACAGCAGCAGCAACAACAACGGCGGCGGCGTCAACGGAAAAGCCAACAACATGAAAGCAAATAATAATAATAATAACGACAAAGCATCCGAGGGAAAAGAAAGAAACAGCAACAGCAACAGCAACAATAGCGGTGACGATTTTACGGAAAGAGATTCGGCAAATAACAGTCCCTCGGAGGTCATGTTGGCTAGTCCATCCGTGAGCGGATATTCGGATACACACAGCGAGGTAATCATCAAAAATTTAATAATAATAATAATGATAATAATAATTTTTTCAAAATTATTTACGATGCAGTAAAAAAAAAAAAAAGAAAAAAAATTTTTTATGATAAATAACCGTCAGCAAAAATGCAATTACGATATGTTTTTTTGTCAAAGGCCATGAACTTTTTAATTCACCAAACTTTTGCTTACTTTCATTTATTTCTCGATTATAGTTATTATTATTATTATTATTTGATGTTCGTCAGCTTTTTTTTTCTCTATGCTCTTCAAGGTTGAAATCGATTTAAAAAAAAAAATTTTTGTTTTTGGGGGGTATAAAAATGTGGAGGGGGGACGAAAAGGTGGAGGATTGTGGGGTTCTCCCCGTGGAAAATATTCATTCATTACTTGTGAAAAAGTTTAGGATCCGGATACGGTCGACCGTCTTCGGCTGTTTTCGTTCATTTCGGTTGTTCATCAAATTATAAATGATTACAGGGTTCGAGCGACAGCGGAAAAGGATGCAGCGAAATGCTCACTCCTTCCCGCACTCCAGCGAGTGGAAATTCCGTTTCCGGAGATCTCCCAGTTACTTCCATATACGAATTTGTGATTCCTCAACATTTAGTCGGAAGACTCATCGGACGCTACGGTTCTTACGTCAACGAAATAAAAGAAACAACTCACGCATCTATATATATAAAAAGGCACCCGGACACGTCCAAGCTCAAAATTTGTGCCGTCGAAGGTACGGATGAACGCGATCCAGGATTAATCGATGCTCTCCCTCCCTTTCCTTTCTTCTTCGTTTTTTAATTTTTTTTTTTGAAATTTCAGGTACGCAAATGGACATAGAAAGTGCTCTTGACATGATTAGGCAAAAGTTTCCGAAGAAACGATACCCGAACGTGACACTCGAACAGGTTGTGATATCTCCCGAGCCTCAAATGATTCCAATCATTTCGGAAAGCATGCAGTTGTATTTAATAGAAGGCATAAACAACGATGTTTTACTTAGTAGCCTAGTGTCTGCGGGTCATTTCTTTCTCCAGCAGCCCACTCATCCGACATACCTGTCACTCAACCGTCTTAACACGTGTATGAATTATTGTTATTCGGAACCCGATCAGCCACTTATTCCAGACGGAGTCGGCGGTAATTATTATTTTTTGTAAAAATTTTCCTTTTCCTTTTCGTTTCTTCGTTTTTTTTTTAATCGTTTTGTTTCTCTCTCTCCAGCCGGGATTTTATGCGCCGCTCCCGTTCACAACGGGTGGTACAGAGCTCAAATCGTTAGCATGGACGAAGATAGTAAAATCTGCGACGTTAAATTCGTGGATTACGGAGGTTACATGACAATGCCGGTGTCGTTGCTACGTCAAATCAGATTCGATTTCGTCAATTTACCCTTCCAGGCTGCCGAATGTTATCTGGCAAGCGTGAAACCATCCAATGGTACGTATACGATGCGACCTTTTCTAAATGAACAAAGTAATACATTTAAGATTATTAATATTATTATTATTATTATTATTGTTTGCGCAGAGGAAAACGTTTGGTGTGAAAATTCGAAATCGTTAGTTGAAAAGCTTACTTTTGGAAAAGTTCTCCAAGCGCAAGTTTATGGGTATGCCGAAGATGGAATTCCATTAATTTATTTGTATACCGTAGTCGATGATAAGGTTCGTTTGATAATAAATTCTCAAGGTTTTTTTTTTGCCCTCGCCGTTCGCGAACGGAATTTTAAATTCGTTTCTAATTTTTGTTTTTATCCAGGTTATTTTAGTGAACGAGGAATTAGTGAATCACGGTTTAGCAGAATGGATTTACCCGGAAGAGGATAATAATAACGACGTCGTCGCGGAATGCGTCGTCGAACGGGATGAAATGGAAGAAACGGCGGCGGGACCCGTCGTCGCGTTGACAGTTTAAAATTATTCGAAAAAAATAATTTTTTTTTTTTTTTTTTTTTAAACTAGTCATCGGCCACGGTAAAAAAAAGAATAAGCAGCAGCAGCAGCAACATTTGCAAAAAAAAAGGAATGATATATACAGATACACATACACTCGCGCATATATATATATATAAATATTTATATATAAAAAGAAAAAAAAAACAGTAGTAGTAATGATGATAATAATAATAATAATGAAACTGATAGTGTAAAGAGACAGAAAAAAGGGGGGAGGTGAGGGAGGGGGGGGTGGAAAGAAGAGAAGAAAAGTCAATTCGTATTAATTTGTCACTGCACCGTCACTCTCGTCACTTACACGGGGACTCAATCACGTGATCGTTTTTTTTTTTTTTTTTTTTTTTTTTTACATTACTTTATTCCGTTTGAATTTTTTCATTTGATAATTTATCAGTGATTCGATGCAAAAGGTTTGCTGAAAGGAGAAAAAGAAAAGGAAAAGGTTTTTCACGAGAGAAAAGGTCGTCGTCGTCGTCGTCGTCGTCGTCGTTGTTGCTGTCATAAAATCATCGTTATCGGTATCATTTTTCATTTTTAGTTTCACGTTTATTTCGATTCTCTATCTCTCTCTCTCTCTCTCTCTCTACCTTTCTCTCTTTCTTTCTTGCTCTCTCTCTCACTTATGTGTAATGACCGACGTTTATATATGAGACGAAGAGAGATGGAAGAAATTCAGTTAAAATAAGAAAGGGAGAGTGAGAGGGAGAGAGAAAGAGAAAAGGAAAAAGGAAGAAAATTTTTTTTTTTTTTTTTTTTTGTATGTTTGGATTTGGTTATTTTTATTTTTATTTCGTTTTTGTTTTTTTTTTGTTTTTTTTTTTTTTTTTTTTTGTACGGTTGGATGACCTGCAGTTCGAGTTCATCCATTAAAATCATCGTCATCGTCATCGTTATCATTTCCTCGTTATCATCATCATTATTTCTTATTTTTATTTTTATTTTTTTACATTAATTAATTAAAATAATTAATTTTTTTGCTCTCTCTTTCTCGCTTATTATTATTATTATTATTATTACTATTTTTATCACTTTTATTATTATTATTATTATCTTTAGTGGGTTTTGAGAGTTTTTTTCGCGCGCAATAAACGAAAAAAACTTTTTTTTGACAAGCCGAAGAAAAAAAAAGAAAAATCGGCAAAAAAGTTTTTATTTAAAAATAAAAAATAAAAATTTGATTGAGTTGTGGGAGGGGAGGGAAGGAAAGGGGAGGGGAGGGGAAAATGGCGGCGGTACAAAAAGGAAAAAAAAAATTTTCTTTATCGCCGTGCCGTTGATGACAATCTTGATCGGAGCAAAAATTTATTATTATTATTATTATTGTTAAAAAGGACAAAGAATTTAAGAAGGGGGGGGAAACAGGTAGAGACGGAGAAAAGTGGGTGGTCTGAGGGGTAATCGGGGGAGGGGAAAGCGTGGGAATTTTTTTATACTTAGAGAAAAGGATAAATAAGTAATTAGAAATTTTAATTAAATGAATAAGTTTTTCATTTATTTTATTTTATTTTTATTTTTATTTCTCGACCCCGCTAATATTATCATTATTATCATCATCATTATTATTATTATAGTCAGTTTTTTCGTGTCTTTACTACAATATTTATAGTCTATAGAAAGTTATAGATGGTTTACTATATATACGTATGGTAAATTTATTAATTTTTTTTTTTACTCTTGTGATTCTGTCTTTTTTTTTTTAAAAAGGTTCCTCAAGTGTGCAGGTTTTCTCTCTCTCTCTCTCTCTCTATCTTATTCTGTTTGTTTTTTAAAGATGGCGGTGGCTGAATCGCCCGGGGTAGTGACAGGGGGAAGAGGGGAGAGCGAGAGAATAAAAAATGAAAGAGTTGTCTTTTTCATATTACTTTTATCATCATCATCATCATCATCATCATCATCATTATTATTATTGTTGTTATTTTTTTCATCATCATTATCATCATCATTATCATTATCATCGCCATAGTTTTTGTCACTGAGGATTTGAAAACATTCACAGTTCAGTGAAAGGGGAATAAAAAGAAAAAGAAAAAAGAAAAAAAGTTGAAAATGAAACCGTTTTGATTTAATTATTATTATTATTATCATCATTATTATTATTTTTTATTATTATTATTATTATTTTTTTTTTGTTGTTCTCTCCCTTATATTTAATATTTAGAAATAATGATAACGTTTTTTTTTTTTTTTTTTTTTTATTTTACTACAATAGGTGATAATAATCATATTTGTTTTTTTTCTATTGCCATAAAAAAATAATGTAAATATTGCAGAATCTATATTATTATTATTATTATTATTATTATTATTATTATTATTATTATCTTTCGATTGTAAAATAGGATTTATTATCTTGCTTCTCTGTATTTAAGTAAATATAGTTTAATAAATAATTTTATTAAAGTTTTTTTTTTCTTTTTTCTTAAATTATTTCCGTGAATTATGAATTGATTATGAAATTTCCTCTGGAGAATCCTGGAAGAGGGTCAACGGTGGAGGTGGGGGTGGTGGTGGTGGTGGTATTAAGGATAATTAATCGATAATAAAATTTTATTTCGGGTCGTTAATTAATAAAAAAAACATTCGTCATCGTCATTATCATCATCATCATCCAAGCGGTATTTATTTTCGTTCGTTCCAGACTTTTCGTCGTCGTCGTGATCTTTCAGAAATAATAATAATAATAAAAATCGTCGTTATTATCATTATGATTATTAATAATAATAATAATATTTAAAATATAATAAATTGTCTGCTTTCCATTTATAAAAAAATTTGCGACGGATAATTAACGCCCTATTTATTACTATTATTATTATTATTATTATTATTAATTCAACGTGGGAAAAGAATAAAAAAAAAGATAAATATAATTCAACGTAGGTAATAAAAAAAAAGGTCACGTGACATTTTAATTATAGACTAAAGGAAAAAATTATCATCATCATCATCATCATCGTGGTAATATATAAAAAAAAATTATACATGGAAAGATCTAGAAAAACAAGGAGAAAGTTATTATCATCATCGTCATCATCATTATCATTATTATTATTATTATTATTATTATTATTATTATTATTATTATTATTAAAGGTAATTAATTTAAAACGGACCCACGCGAAATGCATAACGATTATTATTATTATTATGTTAAAATTGTTTTTCCACTCCCTCCCAGACCCTCCCTTTCCCTCTCCGCGAAGGGCGGAGGGAGAGGGAGGGGGAGGGTGAAAGGAAGGTCGAAAGGTCATTTTGAAATTTTCCTTTCGTACTAAAAACGTACGAACGAATGAATGAATGAATGAATGAATGAATGAGCGAATACTACGAAAATAATTTTTTTTTTTTTACTATTCATCGCGTGGTATTGCATTGCATGGGCGGGGGGCGGTGGCGCGGGGTGGGGGGTGGGGAGGGAGTAATTATAATCTGGAGAAAAAAAAAATTTTCCACATCTTCCATCACTTCGGATGATGATGTCATTCCGGGGTCAATTTTTTTTTTTTACGATCGATTGTATTGATTAATTTTTTTTTTTTTATTATCATAATGAAATCAACCGAGTGACTGACTGACTGACTGACTGACGTTTCAATTCAATCCATTTCCACCACACCCTCTTCATAAATATTAAAAAAAAAAAAAAAATTCCATTTATTATTATTATTATTATTATTTTTTAATTTATACTTCTCCAGGGTATATATAATTAATAATAAACTCTAATAATAATCATAATGATAATGATAATAATGATAATGATCAAATTGCTTTTAATCATTTTTCTTTTATATTCCGTTTCGTTTTTATTTATTTATTTATTTAAATAATTATTATTTTATTAATAATAGTAATAATAATAATTATTATTAATAGTATAATCGATAGCCATTTTGAAAATTGTTAATAATAATAATAATAATAATAATAAAAAGTCGTGGCCGTGGTAAAAAACATAAAGAGAAAGAGAAAAAAACAGAAAATTTCACGTGAAAAGTTTTTCTCTTCTTCATTTTTCTTTACATTACTTTTTGTAATTAATAACTAATTAATTAATTAATTAATTAATTTAATTATTTATTTATTTATTTATCTATGAGAAATAGAAAGTTTTTAGTTAAAAATAATAATTAAATGGAAGAAATTATTGACCCGAACGGTTAATAAAAAGTGAAACGAACGAACGATGGAAAAAAAAATTACTCTCATACGTAATAATGGGGGGGGGGGAAATGATACCAATAATAATGATGATGATGATGCTTTCAAAATACAATTCGTGATGATGATGATGATAATAATAATAATTAGAAGATTATTATCATCAACATTTTAATAAATTAACATCGATATCTAATAATAATTATTGTTGTTAATAATTTGATTTTCTGTCCGGTTTACATTTCTGGATATCGATCGAATAATTATTACGTAAAATGATGATGATAATGATGATAATGATAATGATAATAAAATATGAAAAATTCAATTACGGGTAATTAATATAAATTAATATAAAACCGGTTGAGAAAAAAAAATTTTTTAAAAATAATTTTTATTATTAATAATTTTATTCAATATGTCGATATAAATATTTTGTTGTTGTTGTGGTTGTGGTTGTTGTGATTTTTTATATAAATAATAATAATAATAATAATAATAATTGGGGCGTTAAATAATTTACGTAATTTTTATATTTTACGCAAAAAAAATTATTATTATTATTATTATTATTATTGATAAATTATTATAAATTTTTCGAACGTAAAAATTTTACGGTTTTAAAATTTTTAAATATTTTATTATTATTATTATTATTATTATTGTTATTGCATGGATTAGTTTATGTGATTGCGAAGGAGTCGTAAATAGGCCCAGGTTTTGGAATTTTCCAAAATAAATGTGACCGTTGTGCGACACGTTTGCGGGGGGCGGGGGGGGGCATGTTTGAAAAGTTCG